CATAGGTTCCTGGCACAGCTTAGCAGCTTCCACCTTTGTACTATGGGAAGCTTGGAGCCATGATACAAGAAGTTCAGCTAGAAAGCTGGATAGGCCATGTAGAACAGGAGGGCCCAGAGATGCATGGAGAAAAGGTCTAGCCATTCCAGTGCTCTGGTTATCTTCAAACAACTCCTGTGCAATCTGACTGCAACCCCATGAGAGACCACAAGTGAGACCAGCAAAAATGTCCAGCTGAGCCTAGCCAGTTTGCAAACTACAAGAGATAATGATTGTTTTAAGCTACTAAATTTTGTAGTATTTGTTATGCTGCAATAAATACCTGATGCCATTTTGTATTTTAATTGCCTATTGACTTCTTTTGGCCTGCTATGCTCTTTTCTCTGAGGCAAGGACCAGATCCATTTATTTATTTATTTGTTTGTTTGTTTGTCAGTCAGGGCACTTGAATTCAAGGCCTGAATGCTGCCCTTGAGCTTTTGTGCTCAAGGCTATTGCTCTACCACTTTGAGCCACATCTTCACTTCCAGTTTTCTGGTAGTTAATTGGAGATAAGAGTCTCTTGGAGGGCTGGGAAGGTGGCTCAGTGGTAGAGTAGTTGTCTTGTATGCATGAAGTCCTGGGTTCGATTCCTCAGCACCTCATAAGCAGAAAAAGCTGGAAGTGACACTGTGGCTCAAGTGGTAGAGTGCTAGCCTTGAGCTGAAAAGCTGAGGGACGGTGCCCAGGCCCAGAGTTCAGGCCCCATGACTGACAAAAAAAAAAGAGTTTCATGGACTTTGCTGTCAGGGCTGGCTTTGAACCTCAATCCTCAGATCTCAGCCTCCTGAGTATTAGGATTACAGGTATGAGCCACAAGCACCTGGCCAGATCCATTTCTTACAAGTTGTTATATACTGCCGGGCGTGAGTGGTTCATGCCTGTAATCCTAGCTACTCAGAAGGCTGAGATCTGAGGATCATGTTCAAACCCAGCCCTGGCAGGAAAGTCTGTTGAGACTCTTTTCTCCAATAAACCACTCAGAAAACCAGAAGTGGTACTGTGGCTCAAGTGGTAGAGCACTAGCCTTGAGCCGAAGAGCTCAGGGACAGCATCCAGGCCCAGAGATCAAGCCCCATGGCTGCCAAAAAAAAAAAAAAAATCTTGTTATATGCTGAAGGCATTCTCTAGCATTGGATATGCTCTCATATGTTTGATTGATGCAAATTAAGACTGTCTATAAAAGTGAAGATAACAATGTTGAGCACCCTTTGTGGTAGGTACACAATAGCATGTGTACATGTCATAAGAGGTGATTAACTGGATACAGGACAATAAGCTCTCCATGTTAGTTAGCTTATTTTTGTTGAGTGAATATTGACTTTTGGCCATGATCTAACAATACAGAGCCGGGGAACAGAAGAGAATAGCTGATGGTTAGAAGCCAGGTTAGTTCAGGCAAAGCCTAAGGTGAAGGAAACAAGGTTTCTATTCTGACAGTGTTCCTGTGGGATGTACTGAATAGGTGACCTGGTATGGCAGTGAGGATTCCAGTTGCTCTCACCATCTACCCTCATTCAGTTGGTCTATTGCTGGTCCCAGACTTCTGTGGACATGTAATAAAAATGAATACCTTTCCCACATCTTTCTTTAGGGGGCAGTAATGGGTTTGAACTCAGGACCTGGCCCTGGCTAGGAAGGTGGGCTATCACTCAGCATTTTTTCCCCCCTGTTACTTTTGATGCTGGCACTGGAGCTTAAATTCAGGGCCTTTCACTCTTGCTCAGCTTTTATTTATTTATTTTTAAATCACTTATGGCTGATGCTCTACCTCTTGGGCAACAATTGCAGTTCCAGCTTTTTGCTGGTTAATTGGAAGAGGAGTCTTTTGGACTTGTGTGCCTGTGCTGGCTTTGAACCACAATCCTCAGAACTCAGCTTCTTCTTCTTTTTTTTGTCAGTTCTGGGGCTTGAACTCAGGGCCTGGGATCTCCCTGAGCCTCTCTGTGCTCAAAGCTAGCACTCTACCGCTTAAGCCTTCTAAGTAGCAAGGATTGTATGGCTGAGATAAGGTCTTTAATAAAATTTTTTTTGCCTGGTTTGGCCTTGAAATATGATCCTCCACACTATAAAAAAAAAGAAATATGATCCTCCATATCTCCACCCGATGAACAGCTAAAGTTACAGGTGTGAGCCACCACACTTAGAACATTTTTTTGTTGTGTAACATGGAGACAGGCACCTTGTCTGCTCTTCAAAACCTTTCAACTAGCTTTAAACAAGGACCTTCAAAATAAGTATATGTACAATAAGACTGCCTTACTCAAGGACTCATTACATTCAGTTTTGACCAAGTGTGGTCAAGTTTTTCTAAAATCAAAAGAAATTTCAAAACAAAAAAATTTTAATTTCCCCACACAAGTACTTTATCTGGTTCCGCTGATGGGAAGCCCAGTCAGTTCAGCTTTATGGACATTTGTGTTTAAATTGTGATCTTCTCTTTCTCTGTCCTAGGTTCTGTAAACACACACACACACACACACACACACACACACACACACAAACCCCTGTCTTCTCTAAAGCAAATGGTGTCCCCAAGGCAAAGTATAAGCTAATTTAAGTGCTAAAGTAAAAATCTGAGATTTGTTGAGAGGCAGCATGTCTTTAGTGAAAGTTGAGTGGTGTTATGGGAAAAATGAATCTAGCATCTGCAGTACAGTATTGAACTCTAGGCATCCTGAGCATTCATGGTTTTTCCTCAATGGCTGTCTCCTTGGAGCCATATACCTGCCAATATCAAGGGTGTAATATACGTGGAGTGAGTATATTTTCACTCAAATCAGTAAATCACATGATTTGGGTCTGGTGCTCTTGGCTGTAATCACCCCCAGAACAAGGTATATGGTCAAGTCAAGAGGCATTATGAACATACTCATTATGTCAAACCCTGGGTGGGACAGCAAATGGGAAAATGTCATCCCTGCCCTTAAGGAGAGAACTGGGGAGACTAGACTTACCTAAATGAGATAATTAGATAACAAGACAACGTATAATTACTGCTGGACTGTGTAATAAGAAATTAAGTGCTACAGGGATCTGGAAAAGCAGAGAACAGTGAGGGTTCAAACAGTTAAGGAAGTCTTCACTGCAGAGCTGTGGGCTGAGCCTTGAAGAAAGCCAACTCCAAACAGACTGAATAGAAAAGGCTACAAAAGTCCCAGAAGGAAGACAGCCAAGCCAGCACACTTGTTATTTTGAGGTAGGAACACAAGGAATGTGAAAGGTAGCTGCTACGAATCCCCGAACCAGGATATTTCTGGATAGTTCTTCAGGTTCCTGGGTTTTTATTGTTTCTTCTGCTTATGATGCTTTTCTTCCTTCACCTGACAAAGTTACTCAAAGACCTAGTTCAAATGCAACCACATCTCCAAATACTTCTATGGTATTTCCTCAACTGTTCATGCTTCTAGAACACCATGTATTATATTTGCCTATTCACCTCCTCCACTGCTATGAGTAATAGTAGTTTACATTTATTGGGTTCTTACCATGGGCCAAGAATAATGTTAAGCATATATAAAATATTTAAGCCTTACAACATTACATAAGGTTATTATTCCTGACATTTTATAGACCCAGAGATTTGGTGTGGTTAAAGACCCTTAGATAAAAGAAAGGCTGGGATTCAAACTCCGATTTGTAGGACTACAGTCCATTCTTAATCCTCTGGATCATGGATTTCTGAAAATCACAAAATGCTCCTTATCCATCGTTTTTTCAGATCCTAGGATGGTGGCTGACCATATGGCTCAGAAATTCTCAAATATGTTTCACACCACATGCCTGGGTCTAAATGTAGGTACACCCAGTACTTGTTTATCCCAATAGACTTTTACCCCTCTAAAAGTTACATATCTGAGGTAGGAGAAAGGGAAATTTAAACAGTTTATGTTTGAATTGGAGCTTTTGTCTTCACAGATTTAAGTGTGATGAAGGGGGAGCTTTTTGTTTTTTTTGTGTTGTTGTTTCCTAATACAAAGATTTGGATTCAAGGCCTCACCCTCAATTGGCTATGCCTCAATTGAGCCATGCCTCCAGCTCAGCTTTTTGCTGGTTAATCAGAAATGGATTCTCTCAGAATTTTCTGCCGGGACTGACTTGGAACCTTTGTTCTCCAGATCTCAATATATTGAGTATCTAGGATTGCAGATATGTGCCACCAGACTGCCATTTTTTAATATAAAAAATAGAAGGGCTGGCTCTGTATTCCAGGGCTCTGATTTAATAGGATTATTGAATCCTTAGTTATTTCAAATGAACAACTGAGGAATCTCATTAGACCTGTCAGGAAGAACTGATAGAGGTGATTTTATATAACCAGATCTTTGAGCAGAGTGAGGATGTTACACGAGGTAGGCAGAGCTGGGCCAGATCTAGAACTGAGGAATCCACATTTCTCACCATTTCTCACCTTCCAGTAAGGCGGGCCTGGCATCTCTAAAGCATGGCCTGGGGTGCCCCGCTCAGGCTGCAGCTTCTACCCCGAGGCCCTAAGGTTCCCCTCCACTCTCAGAGCCCGCAGGAGTGCCGAACCTTTTCGAGATATTTTTTGTTTTTGTTTTGTCGGTTGTGGGCCTGAACTCTGGGTCTGGGCGCTGTCCCCAAGAGCTCAAGGCTAGCACTCTTACCACTTGAGCCACAGCGCCACTTCCAGCTTTTTCTGCTTATGTGGTGCTGAGGAATCGAACCCAGGGTCTCAGGCATGCAAGGCAAGCGCTCTACCACTGAGCCACCTTCCCAGACCCCGAGCCCCAATTCTTTAGGGCTTGTCACCAGCAGCTTTCCGAGCCAGGGGAACTCACAGCCCTTCCCGGGCCAACATCCCCATGCCCTTGCCACGGCTCACCTCCGCGGGCCTAGGCACGGCTCCACCCCCCTATTTCCTCTCTCTAAGAGGCTATTTCCGGTTGGGCTGCTTGCTGATTGGCTGGCTGTGGCTGGCTGAGGCTGTCCTAGGACTCGGCCGCTGTGGGCACCACGGAGGGTTCTCTAGCCGCCGGCCTACGGTGTAGTTTCGCTTTTTCGGCCGCGAGCATTCTATGGTGCCTGCCGGGACATGTGGCGCCTCACGGGGCTTCTAGGCCGAGGTAAGGGGCGTCCGAACAGAGAGTGTCAGGAGGCCGCCAAGATTCTAAGTGGAGGGGTGACTTGGAGCAGCCGCCAAAGCGCGAGTGGGCGGGGCCGTGGCGGAGAGGCGGGGCTACATTCTTGAAGTCCGGGTGGATGGAATCTGAGTGGGTGGTGTCGGGGGAGAAGGCGGAGCTTAGATCCCCGGGGAGGAGTGGAACTCTGGGAAGGGGAGCCAATGAAAGAGGACTAGAGGAGAAGGAGAAAAAGCCAAAATGTGAATTTTGAAACAAGTACATCGAATGTGAGGAGAGAGTATATGTAGAACTCAGGTTGTCACTCCATGGCATCTTAATTGCATGAGGAGCTTCTGCTCCACCTTAAGCAGGCCTGCTTTATTGTTTCTGGATTGACAACCTGGAATCCCTCCTAAGCTAAAGAATTCCATGCGTGCCCTGGTTTAAGAACCATTGCAAGAACTGAGGACATGGTCAGTGGTAGAGCACTTGACTAGAATGTTAGAGGGCCTGGGCTTAAATCCCAGTACTGCAAAAACAAACAAAAAAATGAATCACTGTAGAGGAGATCCGCTGCAGAGACAGATGCCAGTGATTCCTGAATTTCTGGGGATAAGGCTCCCTCACAGGTCGGAGAAAAAAGTTATTGAGATCACCTTTTTCTCACTCTTGCCCTGTTCCTTTTTCTGAACAGTTTGCTCCCGTCTTCCGGGACCTGACTTTCGGGGGGTGACCCCCAAGCCCACCAGCCCAGATGGGTCTCAGGCAACCTCCTCCACCCTGCTGGTCCCTGTGCCCAGTCTTGACAGGTGAGACTTTGCCATTCCTTCACTGTGTTCTCCACTGGCCTCTCTTTGTCTCCATTTTGGACACAAATTGAGAACCTGTAATTGAACCATCTAGGTCTGGCCCCCAAGGCCCAAGCAGGAGCAGAGGCCCAAAGTCACATGGATGGAAGGATGCTTTGCAGTGGATGTCTGCTCGGGTCTCCCCAAACACCCTGTGGGATGCCATCTCATGGGTAAGGCTTCTCCAGCCCTTGCATTCACCTTCAGAGTAGATAACAAGATCCTGCATGCCTGGTTTAGAGATGAGGGCAAGGGCCCACTGTGTCCACACAACAAGAAACCTATGGCACTGGAGTCTATTCTTGGTAATGTTGCCACTCCCACTCCTACTGTGTATTTATTTCATTTCACGCAGTAGATACTCATTTAATATATTCAATATACTGCCTTAACATTTTGCAAAACACTAGGGACATGGAAAAGAAAGTAGGTATAAATATTGCTTTTATTAAAACTATAATAATAAATAGCTTATAAATAATATTTACCTAATAATTATAAAAATCTTACAAGGCAAATGTAATATGCATTTTGTATATGTGGAAACAGACTTTGAATATTAGCTAACATTCTTAAGGTCACACAGGATTCTGATTTAACCCTGGAATTCACATATTATCACTTTGTTGCTTCACTTAGGAAGACTTGTAACAGCACCTAATACAGAGTCTACTGCCTAATATTTGTCTGTCACCTCCCCTTCATGTTGCTTTTATGCTGTGTGCTTTGGGCAAGTGACTTAACTCCTCTGAGACCTCACTTCTTATCTATAAATTGGTGTCATCAGCCAAGCTGAGCTTGGAATGTCTCCATTACAGGGATATGGTTATCTTGGTTTCTGTATTACATACCCTGAAAGGGCAACATTTCCCATTTTGTCAAAGATCTGAGTCCTAGGACAGCCTGAATTCTATAGATCCTGATGCCATCCCTGGGCTCTGTCAATACTGCTCATATGGAAAGGCTGCGCACAGCTGTCCCTGTTCTTCCTGCTTTCTCTTCCTCAGGCATATCTCTCACGTTGCTCTACAGGAAGGCTTTTCGAACTCTTCCCTCTTATGCCCAGTATAATCTTCTGATTTGTGTCCTTATGCTTTAGCATAATTGCTACTTACTCTATGTATTTGAATACTTGAATTTTTTCTTTCTTAACTTGATTGTCTTATTTGCTGTGGTACACAGTGCTTGTTGTAACAAAAAAGTATTGAAGCATTCCTTCTGTGTACAGTGCAGGGAAAGACAGGAAAAAAACAAGCAATCACTGAGCTGGAAACTATCTCAGGTCTTCTGGAATCTGTCAAAAAAGAGACACCTTCAACCTGGCCCCCATCTATAAATATGTGATGGAGTGCCTTGGCTGAGGGGCAAGAAAGGATGGGATAGACTAAAGAGTAATCCTCTTCAGGAGAGGGATAGGGAATTTATACTTGTCCCTGCATATGTGGCTGATCTTTTGGTTCAGTTACTTGCTGATGCATTTGTTGTTGTTTTTTTAATATGCATTTATTTTGGTCCCTACTAAAGCTTATTAGCACTGCTGGGCACCAGAGATAGAATGGTAAGCAGCACATACATCCCTGGCTTTGTTGTGCTCAGAGATGAATAGGAGCTACCGGCCTTAGACAAATAAAGGATTATAATATACCAGAGAAGAAATTGGGGTGTGGAAGAGCCGTTCCTCAGGAGTCAGGAAAGGCTGAGTTGACTGGGGGTGGAGGGGTGCGGGCCCACAGGGAGGAACCAAATCTCTCATGTGCTGTCTTTCTCAGGGCACTCTGGCCTTGCTGGCCCTACATTTGGCAAGGCAGGTCCACTTCCAGGCATCCCTGCCAGCAGGACATCAGCAAGCAGAATGCTCTTGGCGTAGTCCTTTGCAGCGCTTCCTCCCTGCTCCCTGCTGGCACCGGTACTCTTGTAAGTTCTCAGTCCTGGGGACTGGAGGGCTGGGCTGGGAGTTTGTCTAGTCCAGGAAGCGTCTCTGCCACACCTCAGGAAAAGGGCCATCAGCAGCCCCTTGCCTTTCCTATCTAAAGTCAGAGGAAAGGGAGTGTTCTGGCCACCATGGTTGGGGCCACATCTGTCTCTGTCTGTCCTTCCATCACCTCCTAGGAAAGGGAGCCAGGCTAAGCTGACTCTGGGTGTGACTTTCTCTTTAGCCCTTAGCCAATTGTGAGTCTTGCTTGGGTATATATTCTGTTCCATAAAGCAGAAGTCATATGGCCTCATAGTGGAGGTTCCAGAGTCAGGGTTCAAGCCCCAAAACTGTTGCATACTAGTCTTATATCCCTGAACAAGTCACTTTTAACTTCCCTGTGTCTTAGTTTCTCCATCTGTAAAAATGCCATAATAATCAATCCCAGCACAGGGATTTCTTGGGAAGACTTAAATGAGTTTAATATGTGTGAAAGACTAAGACCAGTATCTAACATGTAGTAAATGTTTGATAGTTTTTAATTGAAGTATTAGTTCTTATGTGTATGATTATGATAGTCATTACCACTGTTACTATTAAATAAAAGCTATTGCTAGAGCCACAGCAATGAATGAGGTATATGCCTCCCTAACAGTGGAAGAATTTTAAGCAGAACAGTGATTTGTGCTTATGACAGGAGGTCAGCACAAATATGGTCCCTGGGAGACCCCAGTGGAAGGAAGCCAGCAAAGGAAGTAGAGGGGGAAGAGTGGGAAGGAGGCATCACAGGAGTTTCATAATTCTTACTCTTGATTCCACAGCCCAAGAGAGGCAAGTAAAGTCTCCCAGGCTGAACTAACTGCTTCCCTTCTGACCTGACCTCCTTTGCCTGTTCTTCCCAGCTCTGCGGAGCCATGTTCTCCCCAGCCCTGACAGCCCAGCTTCCAGACACAGTGGCCTCAGGGAACCCAGACTGAGCCAGGAAGAACTGGAATCTCAGCTCAGGAGTTCTCTTTCACCCAGCTCCTTGAAGGCAACTAATTCTCAGGAGCCTCCTGAGGAAGGTAAGGCTTCATTTCAAGGAGGCAGGGATGGAAGCTGAGGACAGGTTTGCGATAAAAGAGGGGTACCAAGGCAGATGGACTTTGTTGCTATATATTTCCAGATAACAGAATTGTTATTTCTGGGAGGTTCCTTGCTTTCTGGGGGTTGTTGAGAGTTGTTTTGCATCCTTTGGGAGTACTCCATGGAGAGGAAGACAGTAAGGGGGAAGAGGAAACACAGCTCCTTTTTTCAGGCTGGACTGGCCTTTCCCTTGCAGATCCCAGTGATTTGAACTTCCTTCAAGCCAGCAGTGGCTTTGAGGCCAAGGTACAGCCACAGGCACCTGGTGAAAACAAGGTATTACCCTGTAACCTTTCCTGGGGCAAGTGGTGATCCTGATCAGACATCCTTCATTTTATCCTGCCTATCCTGTTCATCTTCCCCAGGAACAAGAGAAATCAAAAGCCCTTCCCCTGGAAGAGGCCATGACTTCCATTCAGCAACTCTTCCAACTCAGCGTTTCCATCGCTTTCAACTTCTTGGGTAACTGGGGGTCTTGACTCAAGTCAGGAGGATGGGAAAATGGAAAGGGTGTATGGATAGAATATAGACAGAGTGGGAAAACATTTAAGCAAGACAGATTTCAAGTTTAGCTGGGAGTGATGTTGCACACTTGTAATATTAGCCACTGGGGAAGAAGAGGTAGGAGGACTGAAGTCTGAGGCTAGCCCTAGGAAAAAATTAGAAACCCTATCCAAAAATATAGCTGAAGCAAAAAAGGTCTGCTGGAGCAACTCAAGTTGTAGAGTGTCTGAAGTCCTAAGTTCAGAATCCCCAGTAGTGAAAAAAATTTTTTTTCCCAAGTAGGAAGACTGAATCTAGCATAATGGCTCAATGGCATCTGAGTGTTTAGCTCTTCTTCAGACTATCAAGTTGAGGTCTCATCAGCTGGGAAGCTAAAGAACTACCCCATCCCTCTAAGGTTGTGACCTAGAAGTTGTACTTCTGGGGAGTTACAGAAGCTGGAGGGAGACTGAGAAATGCATGACCATAGGCTTATTGGCAAGTCCTGATACTGTGTGAGTAGGAGAGAGTACATGTGAGGGCACAATTGGCATTCTCCATCACACTTAAGAATGAGTAGGCTTGGGAGGTTTGGAGCAGGCCCTCAGGTACGTGAGTGGGAATTTTACTTCTGCCTAGAAACTCCACATGCCACTATTGTTGGTCCTGGCTCTGCAGTGATTTGGCTCATGTTGCAGGTGCCAGATTCCCAACAGCATCTGCGAGGGTTGAGTGAGCAGGTTGGTAGTATTCATTCAGAAAACACTGAACAATCCCTATTTACTTGGCCTTAGAAAAGGTGCTGGGGATACAGCAATCCAGTAGTCATTGTCCTCACTCTCATGGTATTCACATAGGAGTTGAAGAAAACAAAAACAGAAAAGTGACAAATAATTTCAAATGGGAGTAACTACGATAGATAGATAGATAGATAGATAGATAGATAGATAGATAGATAGATAGATAGATAGATAGATAGGTAGATAGATAGGTAGATAGGTAGATAGGTAGATAGATAGATAGATACTACTTCATTCAGCAGGGAACAAGTTTGCATTTGGAAGTCTTTACTGAAAGAAAGACAACTGACAAAGACAAGCTACTTAATGTTCCATCTGGAGCCAGAGCTTTCTGAGCAGGGGAAATAGCAAATGCAAAGGTCCTAAGGTAGTATTAAGTTCCGCTTATTATGAGACCATTAAAAAAGGTGAGTGGCTAGACTTAGAGGTCACAGGAGAAGTAAAAGGTAGTGAAGTCAGAGAAGCAGGCTAGGGCCATATTCAGTGAGGCCTTCTGACCTGTAGTAGAATATGGATTTCCTAAGTGTGACAGAGAGCCACTGAAGCAGGAAAAGGTTTAGTAGTCACATGATATGATTTGCTTTTTCAATGTTATCTCTGACTGTTATATAGGCTGATGTGGACTGTAGGGAGCCAGAGGGGAAATAGGGGACAAGATAGGGTTTTACTGACAGCTAAGTAAAACATGATGATGGTTGGTCGAGGGTAGAAGAGGAGACCAAGAGAAGAGAGGGGTGGGTTTACTGGTATAGCCAGAATGGGAGCTGGGGATGAGCTAGAATGCTTTTCTTATCTCTGTCCCCCAAGAACAGAGGGCGCTATGAACCCTGGACAGTGAGCTTCAGGCAGCAGGGAGGCAACTGTAATTCATTGCTAGTTGAATGAAACCTGGCTGCTTCCTCATTAGCTTTCTGTGATGTTGATGGGCAGGCTCTTCTCAGATTTTTCTTGGCCATTCCTTCATTCATATATTCATTTATTCAGCAAGTGTTAAGTGCTGTGGCAGAACACAAAGGCAGCATAAGCTATGATCATATTTTGCATTTGTATAGAGCTTTCACCCTATGCAAAGTTACTTTTCTCACATTCTTTTTCTGCCTTGCCTCTGGGATTTTACTGTCTAATTGAGGACTTGTACTTTTGAAACAGCTTAGTTCATAGACAAAGGCATGGTATATTAAGAAAGTATCAGAAACATTGCAGAGTTTGAGTGTGGCCTGAAGAATCTAGAGCAGTAACTGGATTGAGGGGCTATAGTGCTAGAGGTAGAAAGAAGAGTCCCAGGAAGAGCTAATCTGAGAAAAGTTGAGAACTGACAGCTTGGTGCCTTTCCTTTTTCCTTTTTGTTTGGGCAGTGTCAAGAGCCTGGGCTTTGGAGTCAGTCACACTTGCATTCAAGTTTCTATTTGGTGCTGCCTTTGGTTTCCTCAAGACAAGATAAACAGCATCACTATGTCAGAGTTTGTTAGGTATAGGCAGCCTAAACCTACTTAGCTAAAAGCCTAAAAGGATATGTTGTTATCTCTTGACCTGTCAAGTCTCAAAAGGACTGGAATCAGGGAAGCTCTAGAGACCTGGGAGCAGCAACTAGCAGACACTGTCTCCAGACTGCTGCTGTCGGAATAAATTTACAAGAGCCATTTTCTCTTCTTGTCCCAACCTGATCACTGTTCAGACTCCTGAAAAGTCTGATTGGTTGGGAGAAACACAGGACATTGAATGGCAGCACAAGGAGGGGTTTTCCCAAAGGTCAGAAGGAGAGCTACTGCCCAGAGGACTGGTTTATACCAGTCAGAGTCCCCTGACCTGTCAGTCCACAGCTACCAGGAAGCTGTGGAGGATGAAATACATGCCAGTGTCCAGCACAAAGAAGATAGGAGAAACCTGGGGTGAAATAGGGGGCCTGTGAGTGCCTGTCTGAGGGTATGGAAGTTCACATCACATAGAGAGCTGGGAGTTTTGTACCCTATGCTTTTTTTTTTTTTACAGGAACAGAGAACATGAAGAAGGGGGATTACATGGCAGCCTTTACTTACTTCCAAAAAGCTGCAGACCGTGGATATAGCAAAGCACAATACAACATGGGCTTGTGTCATGAGCATGGCAGAGGCACGTCTAGGGACCTCAGCAAGGTATTGATCCTTCTTCCCTAGGACCTTACTCTGGAGTGAGCTGCCCAGTGACCTTCAGAAATGAGCACTGGTCAGGGACAGGGGAAAGTCTCTACACTCTCTAACTTGGTTGCAACCCAGCTGAGAGGGAAACATAAGAAAGAAGCACCTGCTGGGCCTGGTGGTCCACACCTGTAATTCCAGCTCTCAGAAGGCTTGTGAGTTCAAGGCTAGCTTAGGTTATGAAATGACACACACACACACACACACATTCCAGCTCTCAGAAGGCTTGTGAGTTCAAGGCTAGCTTAGGTTATGAAATGACACACACACACACACACACACAAGGTTATGAAATGACACACACACACACAAGGTTATGAAATGACACACACACACACACACACACACACACTGGTGGTCCACACCTGTAATTCCAGCTCTCAGAAGGCTTGTTCAAGGCTAGCTTAGGTTATGAAATGACACACACACACACACACACAGAGCTATATGTCGGTGGCTCAAACCTGTAATCCTAACTACTCAGGAGGCTGAGATCTAAAGACCTGGGTTCATAGCCAGCCTGGGGAGGCAACTCTTAACTCCAGTTAGCCTGCAAGAAACAGAAGTGGAGGCATAGCTTAAGTGTTGGAATGCCAACCTCAAACAAAGAAAACAATGAGAAGACCCTAAGTTCAATTCCCAATGCTGGCATGTGTGCCTGTGTTCACACACGCATACCCAGGGAGGGCAGGATCTTGCCTTTCTTCTTTACAGCAGTAACTTCACAGCCAAGAACAGCACTTTCAATTAACTGTAAAAGGATAAGATAAGTGCACAAAGATGCCTTACACAGGGATATGTTTCTTCAAGTTGTAGACAAAGGCAAAAAAAAGAAAAGCAAGTTAAAGACCTTTCAGTAGAGAACTGGTTTATTACATCCACATGACCTTAGAAATTATGTACTATTTATTGGCAGGGAAGATATTCATGGTATATTAAGCTAAAAAGAAAATGGTTACAACATAAGAGTGCTATAATCCAAATCTCTTGTATGTGTGTATATATGTGTATATACCTGTATGTACAGGCATATAAACATGTTTGTAAATGTTTATATTTGTGTATATAATGTATATACAATACATAAAGTTTGTGTGTAAATGTGTATATAGTGTTTATAATATATATGTGTCAATATGTATATAGTGTGCCAATGAATGTATATACAATGTATATATGTAACATGGATATGGATGGGAAACTTTGCAAAGTGTACACTAAAATTTTAATAGGGAGTGATCTTCAGGAGGCAGAATTTGTTGGAATTTTTATGTTTGTATCATTTCTCTCTCCTCCACCTTTTTTTTTTTTTTTTTTTGTGCAGGTCCTAGGGTTTGAACTGAGGGCCTGGGCACTGTCCTTGAATTTCTTTTGCTCAATGCTAGCACTTACTACTTGAGCCACATCTCTACTTCCAGCTATTTTGGTTGTTTATTGAAGACAGACTTTCTGGCCTAAGCTGGCTTCAAACTACAATCCTCAGATTGCAGCCTCCTGTATAGCTATAATTACAGACATAAGCCACTGGTGCCTGGTTCGTTTCTTTTTTGTAGCTTTTTTTGGGTAGGGGTTGCTTTTTGAGATAAGATCTTGTTGTGTAGTGCAAGCTGGCCTCAGACTTATGGTCCTCCTGCCTCACGCTCCTGAGTCCAAAGGTTTCTTGTACATTCCAACATCCAGTCTTAAACAGTTAACTTTGTAAATTTTGGCTTATCAGATTAATCTATAATGACTACATATTATTTAATTAAAATTGTTTGTTTTTAAAAAAAATTGCTTTAAAAAGGCCCTTACCAGAAGACTGGGTATTTCTCCCTTTGCCTCAGGCGATTCTGTATTACCAACTGGCTGCTAAACAGGGTCATAGACTGGCTCAGTACCGCTATGCCAGGTGCTTGCTGCAAGACCCCACCTCCTCGTGGCACCCTGAGCAGCAGAGGGCAATGTCCATGCTGGTGCAGGCTGCAGACTCAGGCTTGAGAGAGGTATGTGCTATTGCTGGTGTCAGCCCTAGGTGTCTGGGGCACATGGAGCTTGAAAGTGACCAAGATGCATTTTTCTCCTCCTTGATTACAGGCCCAAGCTTTCCTCGGAGTGCTTTTCACCAAGGAGCCATACCTGGACGAGCAGAATGCTGTGAAATATCTTTGGCTTGCAGCCAATAATGGGGTATGAGCACTCTGATATCAGGCACATTGGGATGGAGTCTGACAGAACAGACTTGGGAACCTATTCTGAGTTCTGTGTTTAATAGGACAGCATGAGGTAGAAGGAAGCCTTAAGTCCTCCTACTTTCTGCGTGATCTTGGGCAGGTTCCATGGTATGATGATGTTTAAAATCAGCTGTGTTGGGAGTATTTGTTTCGGAATTGCTAAGGGCTACAAAGTAGGGCTCCTGCCCATTCAGCCACCTTAAACATTTCCTATTGCAATGCTGGGTTGGCTACTTTTTCATTCAAGTTTCTGTCTAATCTTTCAAATGCACAGCGTAATTCTACTTTACCCATCTATCACTTCACAGTTGTTGGGAGGTTCAGAATGTAACTGAGATAACTTTCGTGAACCTACTTTGTAAGCTATACTCATGATTGGTGCATCGTTGCTAGTGGTGGCTGGAAGTCAGGTTCATAAGGTGGACACACTGAACAGTTTGTGGAGAGACAGATGTTTATTTGTCTGTGAACAGGGGTGTTGGCGTTCAAGTTTGTTCCACTGAAAATTAGTTTCACGGCATGTATGTGAGTAGTATGAGGGGAAGAAATAGTTAGTGCAGGTTAGTGCCAAAATGGTTTGTGCTTATGTCATCATGTAGCACCAAGAACATGCTCCATGGTTTGCTGGACTCTCATGTATGTTATACCACTATGTAGCTTCGGTTGCACTTGGAAGTAATTGTGGCCTGGATTAGAGCAAGCAGCATATATTCATTGATTGCCCTGTATCAGGATACTTTTCCTTATCCATTCTGTGTTGCCTGAAGTATCCATACCCACTGTCAAAAGGGGTCAGATACCAGGTGTCAGTAGCTCACACCTGTAATCCTGGCTACTACTCGAGAGGCTTATATCTGAGATCTCTATTCAAAACTAGCCTGAGCAGGAAAGTCTATGAGACTTTTATCTCCAGTTAACCACTAAAAAGTCTGAAGTAGAGCTGTGGCTAAGTGGTAAAGCACCAGCCTTGAGCACAAAAGCTAAGGGACAGAGTCTAGGCCCTGAGTTCAAGCTCCAATACCGGCACAAAAAAGGGAGCAGAGGATATTGCCATCTGTAGCCTGCTTTTCCTTGAAAGACCCCCAAAGCCTTCCTCAGTAGGGGCAGCCTATTGGGGCGAGGCGAGCATGCTGAGAGGAGAAGTGCATTCAGAGATGTCTGTCACCTGTTGTGGAGTATTGTGTTGAAACCCAGACCTCACACTTTCATCCTACACAGAGCTGTGTCTTCCTAGGTGAGTTCTGAACAGTGTTACAGGAGCGTGTTGCTACCCTTACATATGTCCACTGTGGAGTCCTGTAGCCTTTTAAGTCTACTGTATTTCTTGCAGAGACATTGGCCTGCCTATCACAGAAATGAGGACAGAATGTGTAGCAGAAATTTGATTCCAAGGAGAAATGGGACCGTGGTTTGCAATCCACAGAATGTTGTTGGGGTTTTTTTGTTGTTGTTTTTTTGTAGTTTATGAGGCTTGAACTCAGAGCTTGGATGCTGTCCCTGAGCTTTTTTTTTTTTTTTTTTGCTCAAGGCTAATTCTCTACCACTTTGAGCCCCAGTTCCACTTCTATTTTTGGGGTAGTTAATTGGAGATAAAAGTTTCATGAACTTTCCTGCCCAGGCTGGCTTCAAACCGTTATCCTCAGATCTCAGCCTCCTGAGTAGTTAGGATTACAGGAATGAACCACCAGTGCCTGGCCTGTTTTTTGCTTTTTTTTTTTTTTTAAGGTGAGAGATAGGATATGATGAAAATGTTCCAGTAAAAAGGGAGAGCCCAGCCAGCGCCAGTGGCTCACACCTGTAATCCTAGCTACTCAGGAGGCTGAGATCTAGGATCACGGTTCAAAGCCAGCCCAGGCAGGCAAGTCCATGAGACTCTTATCTCTAATAAACCACTAGAAAACCGGAAATGGCACTGTGGCTCAAACGGTAGAGTGCTCGCCTTAAGCTGAAGAGCTGAGGGATTGAGCTGAGGGATAGCGCCCAGGCCCAGAGTTCAAGCCCCACTAACAAAAAAAAAAAAAAAAGGAAGAGCCCAGTGGTGCCGGCAGCCACAGGGGATTATACTAACAATATCAGTCATCTAAGCACTTTTCACATGGTAACACAGTACAGGCAGTACTGTTATTGTCACCATTTTATTGAGAAATTGAGACACTGAGAGGTTACCTGGCTAGTAAGGGGTAACATGAAGGTTGGAGCCCAGTCAGGCTGGCTGTGCAGACATGACGTCTCATGCCTCCCCCTGCAGGCACTCAGAAGGAGAAGAAGCTGTGTTCTCAGTGAGAGAAGAAAGGACCCAGAGCATAGCCCTTATTCTGTCCATTCTGCTTCGTAGTCCCCTCATGCAGACTCAGAAAGGTGTACAGAACCTTTGGGTGGCTGCCAGTCACCCTGTCCCCTACTGTTTCAAGAGAAGGCAGGAGCTCAACTTCCAGGTTTCACATACTGGGCTGAGTCTTCCTGCAGCTTTCTTTCAGCCAGCCTCAATGAATGAGAGAAGCTGCCACCCCACTCTAGTTGGCATCTCCTTGGGGTTGGGCAAGTACCAGGCTTCTGATATTTCATAATGAGGCAGACCCAGGCTGGTCTTGATCCTGCATGAATGAAGCCCCAGCATGCCTAACTCCATCTTCCTCCTGACTAAGCATTTCAGGTTCTTAGTCCTGTGTGTCCGTATGTGTATTTTCTCCTTCAGGATTCACAGAGCAGGTACCACTTGGGAATTTGCTATGAGAAGGGCCTTGGTTTGCAGAGGAACCTGGGAGAGGCTGTGAGGTGTTACCAGCAGTCAGCGGCTCTCGGAAATGAACCCGCCCAGGAGAGGCTTCGGACTCTCTTTTCCATGGAGGCAGCAGGTACAAATGCACAACAAACCCTTGGCAGGCTTCCTGAAATCACCATTCTGTGACACCATTCTGTGAGGGGGAAGTGTAGCAGTTTCTAGTCTCCTTGTCGTTTCTAGCTGTCCTAGTAGCAGTTTTTCAAGTGAGAGAAACCCGAGTTTTAACTCCTTTATCTTTACTCAATCCAAGCGCCAGTTTCTTCACCTCTAAAAATAAGGATAACAGTTCCCTCTAACTCCTTGCCTTGGTGTAAGGAGGGAGAGAAGGGTATACATATCTAATCTCAGCACTTGGGAAGTAAGGCAGAAGGATCATGACTTCAAGGACAGCCTCGGCTACATAGCAAAAACCTATCTCAAGTAGTAAGTAAAAAAATAAAAGTTTAGGCCCAGCATGGTAGCACATTGCAACTCCCAACTATTCAGAAAACAGTAGCAGTGGCGAAAATCTATCTGAAAAACATAACAAAAATAGGGCTGGAGGGCTGGGAAGGTGGCTCAGTGGTAGAGCGCTTGCCTTGCATGCATGAGGCCCTGGGTTTGATTCCTCAGCACCACATAAGCAAAAAGAAAAAAGCCAGAAGTGGCGCTGTGGCTCAAGTGGTAGAGCGCTAGCCTTGAGCTGAAGAGCTGAGGGACAGCGCCCAGGCCCAGAGTTCAGGCTCCACGACTGGACCCAAAAAAAAAACAAAACGGGGCTGGAGGGATAGCTCAAGAGATACTCAACAAATGGCTAGCCTGATGCTCTATGACTCTTTAGGAGAGTCAGTGCTCTGAGGCTGTCTGAGTGTCCACCATTTTTAGGGCTCTGAGAACTCTGCTCACTCCTGAGTCTCTGGGCCAGACTGGATTGACAAGGCCAGGGGAAACCACGTATTTTAACAAATCCCTACTATGAAGTTGGAGTCTGAAAATGCCCTACAAGTAAGCATGCGTGTTGCTCTCATACCTTTTTGTAGCCCCAAGGCCCCGCCACCTGACAGTGACAGGACCAAAGTCTTTCTCCAGTCCATCCCTGTGCAGCCTGAACACCCTGCTGGCAGGTACATCAGGCCTCCCTCACGCATCAAGCACAGGAAACCTGGGTCTCCTATGCAGAAGAGGACATCTTGGCACCAGTCCTGGAGCTCCTGACAGGGCATTCCCTTCCTTGGAAAACAGTCTAGTAAGACTGGGTTTTGGCTAAGGTGAGATAAAGCACAGGTACTGGTACTTCTCAGAGGCAGGAGGCAGGAGGTTGGATGACATAAGTAGGGGTTATTATGTCTTCCCAGGGTAGAAACTCCACCAAGAGCTCAGGTGCCCACCCAGCTCAAGTGCATAATCAATGACTTTGACCTTCCTCCCCCAACTTGGTAGGCTGATAGCTGATCCTTAGATGCTTTATCAGCCATTTCTGGTCTATGTACCAAAAAAATTCATGTATTGACTTCAGAATTCTGGCAAGTCCAAAGACCCTATTCTTCATCTTACCTTATCTTTGAACAAATTACTTTACCTTCTATGTCTCCATGCCTCAGTTTCCCTACATTTAGATTGCATTGTCATTTGCCAATACCCCATCAGTATACCTCTGATAAATCACAAAATTTATCAGTAGAATGCAGTTTAGCAATTTTAATAGTCTATTAAATATGACTAGCATTCTGACCTATAGTTTTTGCAGATGTTTGCAAAATTAGCTTAAAAAAAATAGGGCCAGGTGTTAGTGGCTCATGTCTATAATTCTAGCCACTTTGGAGGCTGATATCTCAGAATCTTAATTTAAAGCCAGCCCTAGCAGACAAACCTGAACATTAATTATCTCCAATTAACCAGCAAAAAGCCAGAAATAGAGGTGTCACTCAAGTGCTAGAGTGTCAGCCATGAGCAAAAATGTTAAGTGAGAACATGAGACCCTGAGTTCAAGCCCCAGAACAGGTACCAAAAAAGAGGGAGGGAGGGAAGGAGAGAGAGAGGGAGGAAGGAAGGAAGGAAGGAAGGTAGGAAGAAAGGAAGGAAGGAAGGAAGGAAAGAAAGGAAGGAAGGAAAGAAAGGAAGGAAGGAAAGAAAGAAAGAAAGAAAGGAAGGAAGAAAGGAAGGGGGAGTCATTTTAAAGAAAAAATCTAGTAAATTGAAGACTAGATTGGGAGAAGTGGCAAAAATCATGAGGTGATTCCAGAGTAGCTGAAACTTGAGAAACACTGAGTTGGGTCACCCTGAGAGCAGCTCCCACATTCACCCTAAAAGACTGTTCATCCCCAGTAGATTGATGGCTGTTTTCATTTCACCTTTGATCTGGAAGGAGTTTCTTGCCTGAATGCTTGGATGTGTCTGCATGACTTTTTCAGACCTCCTCAGCCGGTGAATTCTTGGAGTTCCAAAGAAGAGGCCAGTTATCCACTCACCTTCCCTTACACCTGGAGCACCTCCTCAACACCATAAAGAAAAGAAGTATGTGAAAATGCAGTTCTGGTTCTGCTAAATACCTGGCAGTAAAGCCATGATCTGACTGATTTATTGCTTCCTTAACTGTAGATCAAGGACAGTGGTATGTGCCCTCACATCTATAGGACTGAGGTAGGGTGGCTCACTGTGATAGACCTCATTGTTTACTTTGGCCCCTGAAGTAGGTGATGCCCCTGGTCATACCTGTATGAGTCACCAAACCAGGATAAGGACGTGGGCTTCCTGACTCCCTTGCCCAGGCTTCTGATCTGCCAGTTCACAGTCATTGTCTGTGAAACCATTGTTATTGTCCTGCTGATATGAGGGAATAAATGGAGACCAGGCTCCTGGAGTCTTGGAGCCAGAGAGTGTAGATTGTGAGTCTTCATTTGGGAAAGGTGAGCCAGAAATGTATGAGTGTTTAATAAAGCAGAGTGGATTATCTCATCACTCTTGCCCTTGAGTGTGTTGGGGAGAGATAGGGAGATGAGCAGGGAGAACTGAAAGCCAAGGCTCCATCCTCATCTCTAAACTCTCCATTAACCAATTTAAAGGGTCTTAAAAGCTTCTCTAAGAGAGAGACTTAGGAAAAAAAAATGATTTCTGAGGCAACACTAATGACTCCCAATAACTGAATTTGTGAATAGCTGTTCTCTGGCTTCTGGATGTTAGCCCAAGTTCAATAGCATAGATGTGGTTGAAGATGGGGGTGGGAGGGACTGAGGAGCAGCCGCACATACCCCCTGTCTAGTTGACTAAGTAGGAAGGACTAGCCAGAGTGGTGGGTGAGAGGTGGGAAAATTTGGGGGAAATGTCTTCATTTCACTCTCTGCTGCCCACTTCCGCCTTTCACCACTCTCTCAAGTAGTCCCCCGCACCAGTGGGGCTGTAGATTCTCCCTATGACTACCCTGTACACTGACCTCACCCCTATTGAATCTCCCACAGACAGTGCTCCTTGGCTTTGTATTCCAATGTCCCAGCACTTAGCATACTGCTTTGTACAGGGCAGAAGCTCAGTATGCAGTTGTAAGCTATGCAGTGCACTAATCTCTCCGGAAAAAAAAAAGAAAAGAAAAAAGCTTCTGTGGTCAAATAAATTTGGTAAACACTGCTCTGGCATCCCCTTTTTATAGATTCATAGTACATCAGCTATGCCAGATTCCAAGAAGTCCTGCAGTAACATGGTTAACCCTGTGAGTTCCCTGCTGAGGTGAGCGTGGAGCCTGCCCCCTGCAGGTGGTCTGTGAGCCTTCCTAGGCTTCTTACTGCTTCTGGATCATTGTGGGTTCCCTTTCCATGCCCAGGGTCCAGCATGGTTCAGACAGCAGAGCTGGGTGTTCTGTGGTGATGAACTGCTCTCCCTCCTGTCCAGCCACTGCTGAGTGAAACGTGGACTCAGTTTGGGGTGCCTGAGGTAAAGTTGGATGTTTCTAAGTTTTCCAGCCTAAAAAAAGAAGAGCTTCTGCTTATGGAGAGGGAAGAGAAGTCATGAGAAATGTCAGGGGACTAAAACTCCATGGCTGTGCAGTCACTTCAGGCTCCATACAGCCCCAGGGGACAGCTTCATGGGTAGATCTAGCAACTACTGTGTCTCTGCCATTAAAATTCTGGTATTAATGACTCATCATCAGTACCCGCAGAGGAAACTGAGAGGAGGACAAGGAGATGGCCCCAAAGCAGGGTCAGCCGGCTCCGGATGCTGGAGATCCAAAGTTTGGGCCTTATGTCCTCAGCTGTGAGACCTTTGGCCAAAGCTCTGCTGCTTTGGTTTCCCTCTCTGGAATGTTTTTCCCATGAAGCTGACACTATGAGGGAAGCAAAGCCATTTGGTTCATTAGATGTTCAGTGTGAATCCCTTGTGGGCACTTAGTAGATGTTGAGTGAAAATTTGCTTAATAAATGAGAATGATGTGTGCATCTCCCTCCACCCAAATCACAGCACATAAGTAAATGTCGAATGAATGTTTCCCTACTGTTGGTCCTTGTGCTACTAGCACTTAAGATATTGTCCAGCACATGCAACATGTTCGTTGAGTGAATGTTTATGTGTGTAATCCTATTACATTATGCCCAGTAGTTAGTAGGGACTATAAAACACTGAGCTATTTTCTAGGTGCACATTATGTGCCAGGTGCTCTGAGCCTCCCCCCCCCCCCCCCGCCTCTCCTCTTATCTTCTTCTTGGGATTTGGTTCTCTCCAGAGTCCCAAGGGTGGCAGTTGCCATCTCATTGTTAGTTCAGCCAGAGGAGAGGTAGGGTCAGTGAGCTGCCAGGCTAAAGTTGGATGACAGATGAGAAGACTACCTGTCAATTTCTGAGCTGCCCCCAGGCTCCAAGTGAACACTGCATTACACTCTTGGTGCTGACTATTGATAAAAAAAAAAAAATGTCCCTCTGTGCTTCCAAATTAAGACGACATTTAACTGAGTGCTTGCTGGCTCGCCTGCTTCTTCATCTCCCAGGGGACAGAGCCCATCTTGGTGGAAACTGTTTTGAACATGCCCAAAGTCTCAGCTTTGACATCTTGGCTGATGTCAAGAAGTTTCTGTAACCTTCCTGTTCAGCACACCCAGTTCTGTCACCATATGCACTGTCTCATGCTCAGCCTGTTATTCGGAAAATGCTGGTGTCAGCGTGCTAGGAAGGGATATGTAGTGCAGGAGAGAGCACCAGCCTCACATTACTCTTCTCCTTTGACCAGAGAGCAGCTCTTCCCAAGAGTTCTCTGTGCTACACAGGGACAGAGCTAGAGGACTGCCATGGTCCTGAATTTTATTTAGGTCAGAGACCCCTTTGGGAATGTGATAAAAGCACTCACTCTTTCCCAAAGAAAAACATGTCCTCTTGATTTTGCATGCAACTCAGCAGGTTTATAGATCCATAAGCCCCACAGCGGACCAGGTTAAAAGTCTTTCACATATTAGAACACTAACCTAAATCTCAGATCCAGAACCTGGCTTGGACACAAGCCTGCCATATAAACTCAGGCAAGTCACTTCTATGTCTTTCTATATCCTTGGCTACAAAATGAAAGCACTGAAGTTCAGATTTCCTGTGACTGTAACAGCCTATGTTGGTGGCATTTTAGACAGTGCTTTAGATCAGTGCTACATAACCTTTTATAGGCCACATATTCCTTTGGGAATTTGGTGAGAATTTTCTGTTTTCTGCCTTGGAAATGCCTAGACCGAAAGTTTTGCCTGGTATTCGGGGACTTACTGGTTTTAGGCATTAGTATTAGTCCAGTGTATTCAAGACTCAGTCGCAGCCATGATTTCAAATTCCTTAGGCCGTCTCTCCTTTCTCTTAACCCTCCCAACATTATTTCTTCCCTATAAATCCACTAGTACCTGGTGTGCGGGGGATGTACACATGATCTACGTTTGTGCTCTACCTTCCAGACTTTGAATGTATAGAACTACTTTTTCATAATATAGTTCTGCCTGGAGCTCCAATATAGATAAGGGGGACTCTTGTCTTTATTGTTTTATCTAAAGTGTTTGTTTACCTATCCATTCATTCATACATCATTCAACAAGTAATCAAGAGTCACTCTGTGCCAGACACATGATTGGATAAGCTGGAGCCGCTGCCTGCTTAATTTTCCTGGCCCTTCTCCCTGACCTGCAAAACACAGCATCTCTGAGAACCTGCCTGAAAATCACAAATCTTGGAAGGAGAGCATGCTGATCTTTGAGTGAGGGGATCAGAGACCTAGATATCCCTGAAGTGCTTAATGTTTGGGAGCATCATCTTCCTTGACTGTAAAACGGAATAGTAATGCAACACTACACTCCAAATACACACGATTCTCCTTATCCCCAGTTGGGAACATGATTGGCCCATTTCTATGGACAATAGACTTGAGCCTTAAGCTCCACTAAGCAAAAGGAGGAACCAATAGAACTTTTGCTTTCAGTGTTTAGAACCACAAGTTATGGTAAACTAGCAGTGATTGCTTGGAAATTTCCAGGAAGAGTTTAAAGATGAGACTTAGGAAATACTTGCTGTGCCTTCACTCTTCCCTCCCCCCAATGGCTGCTCTCCAGTGTTGATTTTATAGACCCAAATTCACCTGCTGCCCTCTGGTGCCTGAGCTCAAAGTCCTGAGCCTGCAATGATGGAGGGTTACTGGCTGAGAGTAGGTAAGAAGACTTATTTACACTTATGCCACTCAAATCAGGGCAAGTTGCTTTCACCCTGTGCTTATACAATGTAGAGTTGTATAGTTCTGGATGAGTTTACACATATCCCTTTCCACAGCTCCTGGTAGGGTGCTCTGCAAGTCTTTACCTCAGGGACTTCCCTTTTCTGTTCCTTGGTTGCTGTTCTAGTGCCAAGATTGAGAACATGAGTTTTGGTGTTGTACTAGCCCAGGCTCAATTCCTGCCTTGATCCTGGGAAAGACACTCAACTTTTCCAAGCCTGGTATCTTTGTGAGATGGAGGATAATATCTCTTCAGGTTTGTGGGAAAATCAAATTAGGTCCTATTGTAAAGCCTGGTGCCTGATTCATATAAATTCTCTAGTATAGTCCTGCTGTTCTTAGTTCTAATTTTCCAGATTATTTGATAACAGTGGAGTGAGGTCAAGCGCACATGTACCTGTCACTGCACCACTGCCTCACCTCTGAGTCTCAGCAGGACTGTTGCCAGGATTAGATGCAGTCCTTTTCCCCTTCTCGCCTGAGATGAATGCAAACAGGAGAATGAACTGCAGCTTTTCCTTTATTAGTAGCTCAGAGCGCATTACCTTGGTACCCCAGGCTCCAGCCTCGGCCTCCAGTCTCCAACAAGGCTGCCTTCCCTGCTTGTGACACTTGGTGGCATCTGTTCAGCCTAAGGACAGACTTTGTCCCGCCACGTGTTTTTCCAGCAAACACCTCAGTCACCAACTGTCCCAGTCTTAAAAAAAAAAAAAAAAGCTTACAGGTAGAACCTCTTTCTAGGGGCTGCTTGGGTCAGCCTCCTCTGTGGGTGCAGCATCAGTTACCCTAAATTTCTGGGGCCTCCTCTGGTTGACGAGTTTTACTAACCAGAGCTCATTTCTTCCCATCCTTAGGGTCTGTGGCTCCCTAACATCAACCAGGCCACCTGGTTCTTGGGTCCAAAAGCCTCCAAGGTGTGTTCACAGGTTTCTGCCGTGTGCTCTCAGTCGGTTTTCCCACCGGGCCCCTCCACGCCTGCAGCCCCGCCGGTGGCCAGGCCTAGACTGAGGGTCCTCCCGCACACGGAGAGTCTCCGCAGGGCCTCGGAGGCCGCCTCCATGGGCACACCCGAGCGCTGCTCCAGAAGCATCTCCAACAGCGAGCTCATCTCTGAGAGGAAGGTGCTGGCCAGCCTCGTGCCCGCTGGGCTCAGCTCTGGCCCGGCCTTGCCAAATGTCTGGAAGGTTCTTGGCTCCTCCAAGGCCTCTGCATCCGGGGAGCACACATTATCTCGGTAGTTGGTGGTGAGAGGCAAGGACAGCCTTGCCATCCAGGCTGGGTCAGGGGCACTCAGCCTGTCCAGGGCCAGACCTGCAGGGGGAGGAGGGGACATGGTGAGGGGCAGGAGGTTGGGGGGGGGGAGGCACTGAGAAGGGCTAGGGCAGTGGACAAAGGAGGGAAGGGAAATGGCAGGGGCAGACAGGGTGGCCAGAGGGGGATAGGAAGGAAGAGGCCCTGACAGGGAAGCTCTAGGCAGGAAGGCTGTGTGCTGAAGCACGTGGGGAGGAGGAGGAAGAGAACCTAGAGTTAGAAGTCAGCCTGTGTCTAAAGAATGTCCCTGCGGTTGGCATGTTTCAGGTCCAAGTGTCTTCTATTCTGTGCATCCAGGATTTTCACTCCTCAGGGAGGCTTCCCTAAGGGCACCACCAGCTGAAGGGGCCAGGGTGGCAGGGAATTTCTATTCTTAGGCCAGGCTGAGTTCCAGTTCTCTTCATATTCATCTAACAGTGACCTCTTATTTTAACTTTTATAGTTTAATTGATTAATTTCTTTGTTGTGTGTGTGTATGTGCACATGTGCACATGCACACACAAGCACAAATGCACACACAAGTGCACACTAGTTCTGGAGTTTCAACTCAGGGCTTGGATACTGTCCCTTAGCTTTTTGGCTCAAGGCAGACTCTCTACTACTTAAGCTCCTTCCCACTTTTTGCTGGCTAGTTGGAGATAAGAGTCTCACAGTTTTTTCTGCACAGACTGGCTTTTGAACCTGGATCCTCAGATCTCAACCTTCTGAATAGCTAGAATTACAGACATGAACCACCAGCATCCAGTTTAACAGTAGTCTCTTATTAGGGACATACATGCCAAGCAATTTACATTAACTATCTCACCTAACTTTATACAGACTTTGAGACCAACAGCCTTATCTCCAAGTTAAAGATAAGGAAATGGAACCTAAAAGAAGTCATAGTTGCTAGGCTACTTGAACCCAGATTTGCCCATAGGTCTGATGCCTATAAAGTTCTTGGGACTGTGTCATCCTACTCACTCTCTGAAGAGCTGGCTCTTCCTGCCCCAGCACACTTAAGTGCCCACCTCTGGAATTCCCAAGCTAGCCAATGTCTGCATGGTTACAACCTGGCTCCAGCTTCAACTCTCTTCACACCTTTGCTCCTCTAGCTCTAGGAACCCCAGCCTAGCTAAAGCCAGAAAGGAAAGGAGCAGAGGAGGCAGTGACAACAAAACCTAGTGGCTGGGAATTAAAAAAATTTCCTAGATTATCAGTGCTATCATCAAAACTTCTTTTCCCATTTCTTCTCCAGAAAAATATTGTCTCAAAAAACTAGGTCCAGCCCTGATGGCAAAGGCCAAGCCAGAGGAAATTTTTTAATTTCTATTTTATTTGTCGGTCGTGGGGCTTGAACTCTGGCCTTGGGCACTGACCTGAGTGCTTCAGCTCAAGGCGAGCAATCTACCACTTGAGCCACAGCACCACTTCCAGTTTCCTGGTGGTTAATTGGAGATAAGTGGCTCACGCCTGTAATCCTAGCTACTCAGGAGGCTGAGATCTGAAGATCACAGTTCAAAAGCCAGCCTGGGTAGGAAAATTTATTGGAGACTCTTACCTCCAATAAACCACTAGAAAACTGGAAGTGGCGCTACAGCTCAAGTGGTAGAGTGCTCGCCTTCAGCCTTGAGCTGAAGAGCTGAGGGACAGCATTCAGGCCGAGTTCAAGCCTCATGACCAACAACAACAACAAAAAAAGTCTCACAGACTTTCCTGCATGGGCTGGTTTTGAACCATGATCCTCAGAGCTCAGCCTCCTGAGTAGCTAGGATTACAGGTGTGAACCATCAGTGCCTGGCCAGAGGTAATTTTTTTAAAAAAGGTGTAAGTCTCCTGGTTAAGAAACAAGAGTGTCTTAAAAATAAGAGAATATATTAACTTTAATAGTATGTAATGTTTTCTTCAGGTGAGGGCCTTTAAAATCTATTCAAGAATAAAAGACTGGAAGGGCAAAATGTTAACCAAAATTACTCCTGGGCAAAGATGACTTATTCTCTTTTTATTTGTTTATGGTTTTTCTACATTAACCAAATCGTATTTGGGCAAATTGAAACACTTATGCCAAAGTACAGGTAATATTTTTTTTTATATTGGTGAATCATCTCCTGATACTTGTCTTCGTTTCTGGGCTGTACAAGCTGTAAGACAGGATTAGGCCACTGCCCTACTGGATCCTGGGTCTGGCCTCATTCCTGGGACTTAGTGTCTATGGAGTGATTAATGAACATAAGTATTGAACCTTGACATTTGGGAACTGTAAATGTTAGATCCTTGAGGCAGTAAGATCCAGAACTCTTGGTGGTATAGAATAAGACTTTTCCTCAAGGGTCAGCTTTACAACTGAAAAAGAAATCACTGGGATGTATGAAAATGCCTGAGAAGCGAGGGTGAATCTGCTCTGCACTACCACCAGATCCAGCTACAGTAGTCATTGGTTTAACTTGCCCACATTATCTCTTAGAAGCAGTGTGACCTTGGGAAAATGGCTGAACCTCAGTGAGTCTCCTTTTCCTAAGTGTGAAAATTCAATGAGCTTACACAATCACAAAAATATTGTCAGCACCATATCCTCAAGTGTTGGGCATAGCAGCCCCTGGGACAGTCCAGCCCTTCAAGTAGCAAAGGCTTTCCTAGACCTTCTAACTTCCTCCCCCCACACCCCCATCATGTCCCCCGTGCACTCTGTGGCATTGGGGCACTAAACCCACAAGTTCCAGCCAAGGATGGCCAATGGAGACTGAATCCAAACCTGTCTCCATTGTCTCCACCAATCCTGTGTGCATATTAAGTCCTTAAAATATGGCAGGCATGACTGAGCAATTGAATAGTTCATTTAATTTTAATTCATTTACATTTAAATGGCCACATGTGGCCAGTGGCTACCATATTGAATAGCACAACTCTAAAATTTAGAGCTATGATGTCTGTGTTAATAACTATCAGTTGCATAACCTTGGGCAAATTATTAAAACACCCTTGACCCTCAGTGGTTCTTTTCTTTTTTTTTCTTTTGTGAAATGGGGATAATGAATAGCCTACTCTCTTAAAGTTTTTTTCATGAGGAACTTAGGACAAGGAGTAGCACATAAAAAGTGTTCAGTAAGTATTATCATGTTATGTTTTTTGGAGTTTTTTTAATCAAGGAAAGAAAGGGCAGTCCTTGAGATGCCTTTGTCATATTTGCAGCCAGATGGAGCACATGAGAAATAGATTGATTACAGAAACAGAGGACCACAGTGTAGGGATAGTCAGACACAGGGTATGTTACCAAGAGGAGGTTGAACATTGTCCTTTATGTGTGTAAGGTGTATGTGGGAAGGTGAGGGGGGATGTTCCTGTAGTTATCAGAATCTTGAATTAAAGTTTACATTATGGATTTATTGGGAAAATGGATTGTTTCTTTACCAAAACCATTTTTTGATTCAATTAAAAGGGTTAGCACATTAAAAAGTTGACTAAATTCTCATGGTGAAAGGATATTTAAACACACTGAAAAATACTGCTGTTTACTAGTTGAGACTAATCCAGTTTTAGGGCTGGAAGGGGTGGCTTAAGTGGTAGAGTGCCTACCTTGTTGCCTACACAAGGTCCTTCAAACCCTAGCATCATCAAAACAACCCAAGTTTAGGTTTTCCTTCAATCACTGATGAACTGGATGACTCTTCACAGGTTGCTTTTCCTCTCTGACCCTCATCTGTAAGTTGGAACTAACTATGCATCGCAGAGGACTGTTTATAGGCTTACCTGAAATAATGTGTATAATAATACCTGGCATATTCCAAGAACGCAATAATTGCTCACTATTCTTATGATGTTTAAAATTAATAAAGGAGAAACCTGGTCTTTGAACAAAGGGATACTCTCTGCAGCTCAGTGGGAGGTAAAATGTCAATGATGTTCCTCCCTAGAAATAAAATAGCTATCTCCCTAATTAATGCTAATTTTGTTACATATGGGGAAAAACAAATTGATAAGAAATTTCCTTTTACTCTTTAAAGAGAAAAGAAAAGAAACAGAAGTTGTTTCCTTGCAATAGGCTAGAGCATAACTGAAGCCTGGACACACAGGGAACCATGAGGATAGAGGTAGCATTGGGATGGCCCTGGGGAGTCCCTACCTGTGTGTGGGTCCAGCAGGCTGGACAGCTCTTCTTCTAGCAATCGCTTCACAGAGAGGTCTTCTTCAGGGTCTAAGGGCCCTTCCTCTGGGTCTGGTTCGGCCTGGATGACAGACTTGGCACCTGAGCCATCAGTGTCGAGGACTGTACTTCTGCAGAGGAGACAACCAGTTCACTTGTCAGGAATTCCCACAGGGCTTTGTCCATTTCACACCAGCATTCATTCATCTGTGTAGGGGACTTGTAGGTACAGAGCCTGGCCTTTTAACTCAGAGCAGCCTGGGTTCTGTGTTCAAAGCCTTCCTGCTTATGCTGTTTCCTTATTTGTGAAATGGGAATAACAAAGGATGCTCATGACATGAGATGTTGTAGGCAGAGCTTAGCATAAGGGCCTGGAACCTTCCTTCCTTGATGATATGGCTCACCATTGGCCCTCCCTTGTTTTTCAAGATACAGAACCAATGCACTAGCCAAGCCGGGATATTTGTCTTTCTCATTTCTTATCCTCCTGCCAAGTGCTCAGAATATGACTTTTCTGAGGTACTTACATGAGCCATACCTCCAGATCTTGTGTGTGTGTGTGTGTGTGTGCCAGTCCTAGGGCTTGAACTCTGGGCTTGGGCACTGTCCATAACCTCTTGCTCCAGGCTAGCACTCTACCACTTGAGCCACACCTCCACTTTTAGCTTTTTGGGGCGGTTAATTGGAGATAAGAGTCTCACAGACTTTCTAGCCTGGCTTCAAATTGTGATCCTCAGATCTCAGCCTCCTGAGTGGCAAGGATGATAGATGTGAGCCACTTGGCTTCCAGTTCTGGCTTGTTGGTTAATTAGAGCTGAGAATCTCAAGAATTTGTCTATTGGGGCTGGCTTTAACCAAAATTTTTTGAGTAGCGAGGATTATAGGCTCAAACCATCAGCACCCAGATCCCTGAGAGTCTTTAAGGCTTAGAAGTCCTTTCTCCTACAGGTTTCTCTCTCTTGCTATTTAGAGATCAGTAGGCTGGTGGTAAGTTGGAGGGAGATAAAGATAATGATCAGTGTTTACTGATCAATGGAAGAATCAGGCCCAGAGCTGTGCAAGATACTCTTTTTCTCTCAATGGGACCTTTTCATGCCTTTAAAGGGTTCTCTGTCTCTCTTCCCCATTTTACAAAGGAGAAAAACTCGACAAAGATTTGCAGATTGCCCAAGGACCCTATGGATTAAGTAGTAAGAGTTCAACCCTCAGGGGAATGTGTGTGCTATTAGCACTCAGAAACATGCACCAAAATGAAGGCCTCAGAAGCTAGCTTTCTGCCTATTCTCTAGTTTTTAACCTATCATACATACCCTTATCTCTCTCTGTCTCTGTCTCTCTCAAGCACACCCACACCCACACCCTCCCCCCATCCTCCCCCCCACACCATCCTCCTTCTAGACGAGTTGTAGAAACTAGAATCCCTCTTTCCCAAAGAAGGTTCATAGAAATTAGAATTCCTTTTCTCCAAAACCAGCCATAAAACCTGAACATATTTAATTTCTTTCACTTTTTTTTAAAAGTACTTTTTTAAGGTACTTTTGGGATCTTGGGCAAGGCTGGTACTCAATCACTTAAGCCATAACCCCAACCCTGTTTTTTTGCTGGCTATTTCAGAGATAGAATCCAGTGAACTTGGCTGCCCAGGCTGACCTCAAAGCACAGTCTTCCAGATTTTAGCATCCTGAGTAGCGAGGATTACAGGTTATGAGCCACCAGCACTTAGCTCAAAAAACACTACTAATAATTTGTTTTCCCTTTTTTTTTTTGGATGATACTGGAGTTTGAACTCAGGTCCTTCTGCTTACTAAGCAGGGTCTGGAGTTTGAACTCAGATCCTTCCTTCATGCTTACTAAGCAGGTACTCTCACTACTTAGCCATACTTCCACCTCCCTTTCTAGTAAGCGTTGGTCATAAGGAAATTTTCTGACCTAACCTGATTTTAGGTCATAAGATCTCCATTCCAAAAGAGATCTTGCCCCATATCTGGAAGAAAGGAACGCTGCATAGAAAGGTCAAGAAGAATCTGAACAGGACTTGCTAAGTGAGTTTTTCCCCCAAAGTATTTCTGTTAGTTCAGACCTCTTTGTGTGCCATCTTATCCACATTGAACCTAAACATAAAAACAAGTAGTTTCCTCTGGTCTTTGGGTCTTCTATCTGAAAGTTTCTGTGTCACATAAAGCTATGATCAATTAAGTTTGTTATTACTGGGCACTGGTGGCTCACTTCTATAATTCTAGCTACTCAGGAGGCTGCGATTTGAGGATCATGGTTTGAAGCCAACCCAGGCAGGAAAGTCCATGAGACTCTTATCTCCAATTAAGCACCAGAAAGCCAGAAATGGTGCCATGATTCAAAGTGGTAGAGCACTAACTTGAACCAAAAAACAAAGCTCAGGGACAGCACCCAGGCTCTGAGTTCAAGCCACATGACCAACAACAACAAAAAAGTTTATTATGACTTTGTTCCTGTTTATTTCAGCAAAAGCAAATATGGAACCTTGAGAGAGAAATGTTGAGCTTCCCTATAGAACACACCCTGTTCTATACCACCTCTCACCAACCTTACAAAAGAGAAGCTGCAAGTTGTCAGCTCCAGAACACCAATCTAGGAGAGTCAGGAGCTCTGAGAGCTAGTCCCAGCTGGGTGACCTTGAGCAAAGTCATGTTATGGAGAAAGGACAGAACAATGCACATATACCTCCTGCATACCAGGCTCCTGGGCTATGATCTTAGAAGATGTTGACTCATTAAATCCTAACACAATGATGGCAACATTGCAATGGCAGTGTTATGACTTCCATTTTAATTCAGAATCTGAGTTCCTGAGAGAACATCTAAGTTGTTCACTGTTGTTCATAGCTGGTTGGAGCCTCATTTTCTCCATGTATATCCAGAATTTGATTAGATGCCCTTTTGAGGGCTCATGTGTAGCAGGGAATAGAGTTAAGTGTCCTCTTGAAGTCTCCTCAATTCTAGAACCACCCAAAATGCCACCCTGACAGATCTGTGTCCTTATATATTATGTTTATGGGTCAAGAGAAAGAAAGGTGAAAGGTACAGATTGAAAGGCGATTTACAGCACCTCTGTAATCAGGGGACAGATAGAGCTCTGGGATGAAGTCATTTCCTTAGTCATTCTGGGTCCTGTAAATACCATAAATATAGCCACCCCCGGACAGAGCCTCCCTCTCAGGGTGGGGGATGGATGCTGTCTGCTGCACTCACTGGGGACCAGTGTCTAGGGTGTGCTCACTCATTCTCTCCTCCCCTCACTGAGGGGACAGCCTGTAGGGCCCTGGAGAAGACCGTGGGGGGGGGGAGGGAATCCTTGCTGCTTACCTGACGCCGGCTGGCTTGGCCAAGTACTTATTTCCCCGGTGGTTTGGTTTGGGCTGGAATTGGCCCTGGTGCAGCAAGGACAGCAGCTGGGAGATTTGCTACAAGACAGGAAAAATCTGTTGACTCCACACAATTCCGGCCCAGCACACTTCCTCGCCGGATGTTTCTCTCAATGCCGGTGCTTTCTTTTTATAGTCTTTCCTTTGCCTTCAGATGTTTGTGTGTGATCCACTGGGGGATGGTCCCTTGTGATGGAGACAGGGACCTGGTTGAGGGGAGGCGGCTTCCCTGTTTTGTCACCCCTGTCCCCAAGTGTCTGAGGAAGAGCATGAAAACCCATGAGCCCATCCCCTCAAGTTCATCCCCTCCAGCCCCAAGTGATCTGCTCCTGGTCTTGTAGGGCAGGGTGAAAAAGGAATTTCCTGATCCTACAGTCATTATTATTTTGATAAGGATTGCCTTCTCCTTTTAGCAATATTCAGACAGTCTGGCCAATTTGGGTGGGCTAGATATAAGACTGCATTGTAGAGAAGGTGATGGTGTCACTTGTTCATTCATTCACCCTTGCTTTCAACCAGCAAGCTTATAACAAATTGCTTGCTTGTGCTGGGTATGGCACTTGCTGTGGGACTAGGAGTGAGAAGGAGAACTTTCTCAGCTCATGGATTATCAGGAAGGCTGGGAAGAGTGGTTTGACAGAAAGACTACATCTGAGTGTTCCTCAAACTCTTCCTATTGACCCCATCCTCAGAGAGGTGCTGGCATCCGAGGATGGAGTCAATAGGAAGTAAGGTCTCCAACCCAGTTCAAGCAGGAAGATATTGAAAAATCTCTTTATTTACTTAATTTTATTTTTTTTGTTTGTGCCAGAACTGGAGCTTGAATGCAGGGCCTGGACACTATCCCTTAGCTTTTTTTGCTCAAGGCAAGTATTCTACTACTTGAACCACATTTCTGTGTGTGTGTGTGTGTGTGTGTGTGTGTGTGTGTGTGTGTGTGTGTGTGTGTGTGTGTGTGTGTGTGTGTGTGTGTGTGTGTGTGTGTGTGT